GAAAGAGCATCGACAAAGACGTCTCTAAACCATCTCACCTGCCTCCCTCCAGGATAATTGTATTACTGACTTACACACATACACATCCGTGTTCCCACCTACAGCCACTTCCTCTAAGGACCCCGAAGAAGGGAGAGGAGATGCTGAACAATGAAAGGAGCTCACGGCACAAAAAGTAGCATGGTCGGGGGTGGATCAGAAGGAGAGAGGGGAGACAGACAAGAGATCACATTCCTAGCACGAGGAATACACTGCTCCTGCCTTCAGTGGGAATCCTCCTACCTTTGCAAACGCCGACATAAAAGACACACTTGCAGCATATTTCAAAACCAAAGAGCGATGGATTTACAAGGCAGGTTGATTTTATGATGACTTTTATTGAAAAGGTACGCCGAGTTTAGGCAGATGCCTTTTAGCGCCGGTAAGTTAGCACAGTGCCTAATTCAAGGAGACAGCCTGAGGAAGCAGCGCCGACAGGGGAGAGAGAGCCACAATGTCTCTATTACTCTCCTCGGTATCGTAAAGGGGAGAAGAAAAATCACGTCTGAAAGGGAGAGGACAGAGTGGTGCAGCAGGTTTTTGTTGAAAAGAAATATAATAATAACAGTAACAACAACAATAATAAAAAGTGTTTCCTAGGAAGAAATTTCAACAGAACAAAGGAGCCCGTGTGAAAGCCAAACCACTGGCTCCTTGGTCTACACATCTGGGTTTACAGGAAAACTCTAATCCCAAATTAGCACTCTGCTTCAGGGTACCCCCACTCTGCCACCCCCAGAAACCCTCCCCACCATGGGTCACCTCCCAGCTCCGCAAAGCTGGAAGCCTGCCCTTCCCAAAGGACAGCTCTGTGTGGGCAACACCACAAGGGACAAGGTGATGGGCAGCAGGGAGTTACAGTTACGAGCACATGGACTGGATTCCTTTAGTCCAGCCACCTACTTACGGAATCTTTCAACACGCACCAAAGTGGAAAACATCCAGAGAAAGCACATGGTGCAGAAGCTTATTGAACTGTGAGAATAGATTCGGGTTTATGTCTCAAAGAGGGAGTTCAGTGGCCAGAAATATTGTTAAGTTAAGCAGAGGAAAAGGCACTTTTGCCCCAACCTGAGGCATGAATCCTGAAGGTGATGCATTTGCTCTAAGGATGGTGTGCATGAAGAAAAGGTCAGAAAGAAATACTTGAAGAAGCAGGGGGTACATGTTTGCTGCAAGCTGTGGGAAACTTTATGGCTACACACTCCAGCTGCATCCCCATTTACACACATATATGTACCAGCATCTACAACCTTGCACTGGGGCACAGATGGCTTTCTGAATGGTCAACATCGTCTCTCCAGCTGTGTGCTGGAAGACAAGATTCCTTCAAGAGCACCTCACCTTAAAATCTGTCAATGTCCATTTAGAAGAGATCAGGCAGTGCTGTGTGGTTGTGCTTGACAGGCAGGAAAGGCTGGTTTTCCTCTACCTTCAGCAAGAACCACAACACTGAAAAACTCAACAGGTGATTGTCCCGCAATGAGGCGCAACTAAAGAAGAACCAACAAGTCAATGGAGGTACTTACATCTGTCGCTTCGGTCTTCAGGACTGGATGAGGTCTCCCGGTCAGAAATGAGGCCAGAAACTGCAAAGATCTTCTTCCCTGTATCATCAACTTTGAGGGAGCCGGGGGAGCTGGAGGGGAGCTGTGTGCCAAACTCGTACTCCTTCCCATCAGCATCCGAGAAGCGCAGATGGGGTGAGTCAGTGTCATGGCAGTTTTTCAGGCGCTTGGCCGGCGTAAAGGCCGACTGGTAGCTCTCCCGGTCTTCAGTAGATGCAAAGGGGCGGAAAGCCCCAACGCCGCTGTGGTTCAACATACTGATCGGGGTGCAGTCCAGGTTAGGGGGTGCAAACTGGGGGTGGAGGTGAAGCAAGGATGGAGGAAAGTCACGGTTTGCAAACGCTCCCGGCACCCCCCCTTGCCGGTGGTACATGGAGGCAAAAGTATATGAGCCGTTGGTGAAGGGAATATGCACGTCCTTATCTGCTGACACGGGGACCCCAAAAGGCCTCGGCTGCTGGCAGGGAATGGAAGCATCACGACTGGCTTCGGCAGTGGAGGCAAGAACCATCAGTGCTGGGGAGGCCAGTGGGTTGGGGAGGTAGGGTGAGTTCTCCATCTTGAACGCTGCCCGGTGTAAGTCCATCGGAGTCTCTTTCCTCAGCAGGATCACAAGCAGAACGATCTTCCCTGGAAGGAAAGCAAAGTGATGCCTGGGAACGGAGCGAGGAAAATTACTGGAGCATCATCACCCTCCAAGGACTGCAAGGAAACAGAAAAGAAAAGACAAGTGGTTAGGTTTCTGCACTTGTCTCCCTGGGATGCTCCAGCAGCAGGGTGGCCACATGTGTTACAACCCACCGGCCAGAGACGCGCCACTGTTCTCATTCAAGAAAATCAATAGACAACTTCACACACTAGTGGAATCAGCTCTGGCCCTCCAGGTTAAAGGGTCTCATCCAGTGCAGACGAATGAAAGGCAAACCAAACATAATAACGTGCTTGCTGATTTAATAACCCACTAATAGACAAGGTTCGGTCTAAAATTAAGATAGTAACTCCAAATTATAATTGCAATTTTATCTGACAAAAGAGGCATGTACAGACAATTGCAGTAAACTTAAGAAAGCCCACACATACATACACCACTATTTGCTTGGGCGGGTGTGTGTGTGTAACTAACATAAACATATCTGTTCTACATAGTTACCCAAATAAGCCAGCATACATGGTTACACTGTACACGATGCTGAAGACATATATAACAGACGTATTTTCCTTCACTCTCCCAGTACATATGGGTAGGTAATACCTGAATGTATATAAATATATATACATACGTACACACACCGTTAGAATGTAGGAATGTGACTGTGTATGGGTGCATGTGTGTGATACACGAATACCCACGCGTGTACACACGGTCCCTGTTACCCAAAGGAGATGACACTTCCCCAGCAAAACGCCTGGCGTCTCTGACAATATTTGAAATCATAATGGGTGCTTCTGCCATCTGATCTCAGCAAGCGTCTGCCTTTCAGGTTGGGGACAAGAGAGAATGGCTCAGTAATTTTAGTTCCTAATGCACTGACTCTTAAGTAGATTTGTAAACTGCCCTGGATGTGCCATTAACATTTAGAGGAAAATGTTAACAAAATTTCTGCCTTGTATCTTGCTGAGCCTCCCAGGTTGGCCGCAGCCACCCAGCCACCCACAGCCCCCTCCCAGGAAGAGAGAAGGGAAAATGCTCCTTTCTGTGTCTCCCTCAGTTCTCTCTGGCTTTTTGTGTTGTTATTTTCTCCCCCAATCAATCTCGTGTCTTTTCTTTTAAGCTTCCGCCGCCTGCCATTCAGGCCCCACAGCCCAGCTTAAAATACAAGGACTATAACTTTGAAACAATATACTAGCCGCTGGAGCTCAAAGGGCCAGAAAAATCATATAATAATAAAAAGCTGTTACAAATTGTGCCTCTTAAATCCAGAGGGTCAAACATCTCAAATAAAACTTAGTGAAAG